ATTTGAAGCTTTACATTCTCATTCCCTTGCATCCATGCAAGATCACAGGACATCTAACACACAGGAGGTCTATGCGTTAAGTGGGAACATGATAGAGGGCCAATGCTTTTTTAAGTACCTAGTTACCTAAGTTAAGAAGTAGTTAAAAAATCTCTTATATACACTTGTAGCTTTCCGACGACTAAGCTAAGAACAGAGTTAAAACACTGTCACTTGTGGAACCAATCCACTTTGGCCAACTTTAAAAAAAAGAAAAAACTATGTTGTATGATTCCACTATACAGTGCCGAATTTGAAAGATTAGAAGGAACATGCCACTTGGTGCCTTTAGGACATAAGCATTTCCAGTATACAAACAAGGACCAAAGTTACTTAGTTCCGTTTGGCACAAAAAGTTACAATATTTTGGTAACTAAATAGGACCAACCAACTTTGGTTCTTGTTTGCATAATGAAAATACTTAGGTCCTAAAGGCATCAAGTGGCATGGGTCTTTTTAGCGCTTAAATTCGATACTAAATAGTGAACCATGCAGCATTCTTCTTTTCTGTTTTTTAAAAGTTGACCAAAGTGAGTTGGTTCCATAAGTCACTATCACTTATGGAACCAACTCACTTTGGTCAACTTTTCTCTGTCTCTGTTTTTATTCGTTGGAAAGCTACAATTTTTTTTGGGGAGATAGAAAGTGTCATTTCAGCGCCATCTATGTACCAAACTCAATTTCACTCAAACAATGGGTTGGTTCCTGTTTGCGTAAATGGGTCCATTTGTTTCTGTGTGCTATGAAAAGTGCTGATAGTGGTGATACCCCGTTCTCGCTTAAGCTAAATTTGCTGTTCAAAAATATCTTGAGTGTTAATCCGTTGCTGTTAGCGACGCTTCATCTTCAAAGGTTCCTCGTCCATTTTTAAATTGTGCAAACCATCAACATTTTGCAACATCGTGAACAAGTAGACTTACCAAATGGTAACCAACAGTTCAAAACATCTTCGGGGCTTTAAACATTATTTATGGTCATCTATATAAATAACATGATAGAGGTTTGCAGTTGTGCACGCATCACGGAAAACTACTGGATAGGTTTTTCAATTAGGTTTTATAAGTTTTATTTCTTAGACACTTTGCCTTTATCTAAAAAAATATTGTGATTCTTAATTTAATATTATGTTATTAAAGTTTTAAGAAACAACAATTTTTATAAGCACTACGTGTTCAGTGATGTGTATAAGCGGCGCAGACGAAGTCGTTGGTATCAGCTAGTAGTAAACTCACTTCGACTGAGTTTAGCATTTCTATGGCCTACAAATACTTGTACCGGGTCTGGATGTTTATCCTTGTGAACTTTATGTATTTAAAACTGCCCTCACAATACAGGAGAACATCCTAGTATAGAGGTATTTTTTTTTTTATAAGAATTATAAAAACTATTGTCCCGTGCGCGTCGTAAGAGATGACAGAGGGAAACAAATCAGGAGCTCATCTCCTTAGTCTTCTTTTAGTAGCGTCTTCCCAATAACAACAAAAAATAAACTGTAGTTAAAAACCGCCCGAGAAGCATAGCAGCTATGGCAAATATCCTAGTATAGATTGCATGGCGGAGGCCTGGAGGACTTATGATAGACTGAAACGGTGCGAATGTAGCGAATTCCTTTCAGATTCCGACAAAAAGCACTTTCCAAATAAAAATATTTTAGATATTGTGTTCAATTTTCAAATTTATAGGTGAAAATAGGTAACTAGCTTCGTCCGCATTGAACTTAGACAAAAAACTGACAGATCTATAATAATGGTCTTTGGGCAAGTAAGTACTTAGTTCCATTATCAAAAAACTAAGAACAGAACAGAACAGAAACTTTTTTATTCAATATAGATTATATATAATACTTATTGAAAGTCACTCTTTTGTTTAATTACCACTGGTTCAAAAAAAAAACCTCCGTCCTGGGAAGAACCAGCAAGACTCCCAGCGAGATTTTTTTAAATAACAGCTTACAATCATGTAATCACAATTAACCACACAAAACAATTTAGAGATAGCTTGGTAGAGATTACCTCATTCCCAGGGGTTATTATCATCCATAAATTCCTTAATATTATAATAATCCTTTTTATACAAACTTTGTTTAATAATGTTTTTGAACTTTGAGCAGGTTAAATTTTGTATATTTTCTGCGATTTTGTTGTAAAAGCGTATACATCGCCCCAAGAATGAATTACTGACTCGGTGGAGTCGAGTAACTGGTACTACTAGCTTGTGTCTGTTCCTAGTATTTACAAAATGAATATCACTTATTTTTGTATAACTACCTTTATTTTTGTGTACATTACATACTATTTTCATAAATGTATTGAGAGGCCAAAGTTAATATAATTTAACTAATTTCCTTATAAGTTTTAAATCATAGATTGCTCTTATGGCCCTCTACTGTAAAACAAATAATCGCGTGTCCCCATAGTAAAATACCATACGACATTATGCTATGGAAGTAGCTAAAGTAAACAAGTCACGAAAGAAATACACTGGTAAGATTTCTAATCGTTTTACAGCATATGCTGCAGAACTAAGTCTGCTTGTTAATTTTGATATATGGGGGCTCCATTGAAGCTTCGCGTCTAGTGTTATTCCAAGAAAAATGGTGATATCGACATGACTCAGTTTCTCCCCATTTAAAATTACTTACATTAGTATTTAATTTTTTGACATTTGGAGTCATGATTTTCAGACATTTCGTTTTAGTGTCGTTTAAATGCAAGTTATTAACATTAAACCAATTTACTAATTTAGATATACCTAGCATTATTTACTTCGTCATATTTTAATAATTGTGGTTTTAATTTGAAAATTAATTAAGTGTCATCAGCAACTAATACTGTATTATGGTTATCCCCTACTGTGTAAGGTAAGTCTTTAATATATACAAGAAACAGAAAGGGGCCGAGAATTGAGCCTTGAGGCACGCCCATCTTACCAGGTCGTCACTCCATCTCGTGGGGGGACGCCCTACACTTCGCCTGCCGGTACGAGGCTGCCACTCGAGAACCTTTCTTCCCCATCGGTTGTTAAAAATAAATAATTAATATAAAATATTTTTAGATAATGAAGATCCTTAAAATCTAGTGCTACAGCTATATTGGGGCCCTATATAAAAAAAAATCCAAGATTTTTTGTTTATGATGGTATTTAAAGAAAGAACATTCATATGAATAAGAAATAAATTTTATTTAAAAAAAATCATCTAGTGTGAGATTCTTCGGTTACACTTAGTCTTTAAGTGTTTAAAATGGAATACAAGTTTGTACAAATGTGTAAGAAAACAATCAAATTTCAAATCATCAAAGGTATTAACAGTATTTTTCTGCGACGTACTTAATGTGGGTTGCATATTTCAAGTTGATAAGATAATATTGCAAAAGAAAAGTAAATCATTCTAAGCAGAAATGACGGCTAATAAATTGTTGACCAATCAATTGTTTAAACATGAAGAATGTAGAAATGAATATAATATATCATATTAATAAAAAATTGTGTAAATTAAAATATAATTTAAAACAATCATCTAAGAATATATCTTTTTTAAATTGGAAGAAGCTTAGCTATGCTTAACATAAACAAATGTTTGGACGGACTCATTGTATATTATCTAAGACACAAATACATTTAAATAAACAGGTGGGACCTAACCACAATAATGTCACTCCTATACACGAAAATTCAATGAAAGCTTAGAAGTTTAATCATACTGGATGTTTGGAATGGACACATTATTTTCCTACAGGTGGAAGTTGAAGTCAATTTTAAGTCAAGTTTATGATGACATAAAACTTTTCTATTATACGTAGCTTTCAAAAACCAACTTCATTAAAAAAAAAATTCAAACATTTTACCAGTAATTAGAAAACAATTTAGTAAATTGTCGGTAATTGCTGGTAAAATGTTTTTAATGAAATTGGCTTTTCATATCTTTTTACAATTTATCTTATTTGAATTTGTTAATGATTGGTTAACTTGGATATAAAAAGTGAAAACATCTGGTTTGAAGGATGCAATTTACTCTCACAAAACACTGTAAAATTTACTGTCTGGTAATAAGGTATTAATAATGGTATCTGTCAAAATGAATAGCTATGAATTATATACAATAATGATATATAATTTTATGAATAAACCTGTAAAAGTTAAATATACATAGTGGTTTATTAGCAGCAAGCTCTGATTTTTTCTTAAATACAATAAATAAGCAAATCACTCAACCTGTAAACAAACAAAACCTTTACTACTCATATATTTAATAGTAGGTCCTATTTTTAATTAATAAAAAACCTAAATCAATTACTTTTAAAGGGAAAAAACATTTTTATCTTAAACAATTATTAATTTAACCAATGTCAACATCATCATTTTAACAGCCTATCAAAAGTCCACTGCTGATTATAGGTTTTTCCCATAGGTCGGATGTTTACCATAGTTGCCACACTTGGCAGGGAGGTTGGCAACTGCAGTTTTTTATTATACTTAAAGTTGTTATCAGGAAAATGTCCCTCACCTCATGAGATACCCATAGGATGATATGGGGATAGTGGATATTTTTTTGCTACGAGTACACAGTAAACCAGTCAACCAGAGTAAAAATGAGTTATTACTAAAATATCTACATATAAATATATTATTTAATAATGTGGTAGTTAAGAATATTAGCATAGAAACATCTCAGTTATAATATGACATTGTATAATACTATAAACTCTTTATAACTGAACTATTTTATAACAAGTCTCTCTCTTAGGCTAGACTATACAAAATATCTTGATTTTGTTTAGGAAAATCTTGATCCTTTGAGTTTCATTAAAGAGAGTTTACAATAATTCAAAGACAGTTTTCAATTATTTGTTGAATTCATATTTTTATGATTGCTTATTCATATTATCGTGTTGCTTAACATGTTCATTCAAAAATGAGTAAGACTAAGGCACTGTATTTCTGCACTTCTAATGTTATCCTTATCAAAGTAACACCCTATTCAAATAAAATAAACCAGATATTGTACTCAGCAAAACAGTGATAGATGTATGAATGTTTGATGAACCATTGCACTCATCTGCAGAGCAATAACACTCTTCCCAATAAACACCATTTGGATAGACCCCCCAATTACAAACACCAGTCACACCAGTCTCAGCAACTGATGCACAACGTCTTATTACTTGGCGCCACCGTCCATCCCCTGAAAAGTAGATAGTTAAATTAAGTAGAATGCTTTCAAAGAATTAATATAAGTTTATATGTATAGCTTACTAATTAAGCAGTAAAAGTTGATGATAAACATTATGGTGACCTGTGATTGAGCATAAAAACAATTTATGAGAACTGTGCAATTTGGTTAAAAATATATATTCTCAAAAGAAATATACAATTTCACTTAATGAGAAATTACAATATTCAATGTTATATTATGTTACAAGCATATTTTGAGTACTGTAGAGTAGAGGTATAAGAATATCCACTAACCCAAATTATCCCGTTTGTAATATAGGTTAGTGGATATTTTGCACCAGTCAAAGTCGACAGTTAAACTGAACCAGCAAATAAATAAAAAACTGCAGTTGCCAACCTGCTTACCAAGTGTGGCAACTATGGCAAATATCCCACATATGGGGCAATCTATGGGTGAGGCCTATGTTCAGTCATGCGTCATACTTGTGAAGAGGTGATGCTTGTGGTGACTGGTCTGGGAGTTTGCAACACATTTATTAGCATTAATTTTGAATTTTTTTTCTTGGTGCATTTTTATTAAAGAGCATACTTTGATTACCTATTTGTCTATACCTTTGTATTAATGATTAAGAATATTGTACCATGAGCCTATAAAAAATGATAACAAGAGGATACCTGCAGTGTTTCCTTCGCAGATTCATCTCTATACAGTCGAACCTCATTTTGAAATGTTAGTAGATTAGAAAACATGTTGACGTTTGATGAATGAAGTTTTAATAACTTACGTCGAAAAATAAAGTTTTCATTACATTCTCACTTACGAACTTAAGTGCCCAGCATGGTACTTATGGTCAAATTTGCCAAATTATGAATGCCACAAGACACATTGTTGAAGTCATGCAAGTTAATTTATTAAGTCCACAATACTTACAAATAAACCCTTTAGGTCCCTGTTGAGTTAGCTTCATGCAAAAGGATCCCGGCATGTGAGATTCATCACTATTACATTCTACTGCTATGTGACTATCTGTATCAAACTTTTTGTATGCTCCACATGTATCTTCTTTAATATTATCTGATGAAGCACATTGATAGCATCGTACACAGAATACTGTAAAACAAGCATAATTTTAAAATCGTACTAAAATTTAACTACAGCATAGAATGTACAAATGAATACCTGTACGTAAAGAGCAAATTAATAACATAAAAAATAAATAGGACATTTTGGAAAAGTTAATAGATAACCAAAATTTAATATTTAAACGTTAAATGAAGAATATGTAAAGAAAACAGCAACCAACTCGTTCTCAATAACGAATAACAACAAACCAACAAACAACGCACAACACAGAATACTTTACTCAATGACTCGAATCCGCTTGAATCTCGATCTCGATTCTCAAATTCGAAACACGCCCTATCCAAAGAGTTGTTGTTTTTTAAGCAAAGGTATCTACAGATACAGCCTACTCTGACATGTATTCTGTTACCAATTTCTTTTACAATATCATGCTGATGGATCACATTTTGAAGTTTTTGAGAGATTTGACGATAACTCAACTCAGCATACAATTGATAATGATAGTATCTCAATCTCAAAGCGCCATAATGGGTTAAAAACCTTTAGATTTGTAACACCATCGGTTAAGTATGGCCGAAAACATCATCATCATGATCATTACAGCCCTTCACAAGTCCATTGCTGAACATAGGCCTCCCAAAGGAATGCCACAAAACACGGTCCTGGGCCACCTGCATCCATCGACTTCCTGCATGTCTTACCAGGTCGTAACTCCATCTAGTGTAGGGTCACCTTACACTTTGCCTACAGGTACGAGGCCGCCACTCGAAAATCTTTTTTCCCCATCGGTTGTCGGTTCTTCGAACTAAATGGCCGGCCTATTGCCACTTCTTCTACTTACTAATCCGTTAGGCTACTAATCCGTTAGGCTATGTTCTACTGCAGATATCCTCATTTCTAAGTTTATCACGCAGAGAAACTCCGAGCATAGCCCTCTCCATAGCTCGCTGAGCAACCTTGAGCTTCCTCATCTAGCCAGTAGTGATGGACCACGTCTCAGTACCATAGGTCATTCTGGCAACAGGCACTGATTGTACAGTCTCGTTTTCAAGTTTTGAGATATACCTGACGAGAAGAACCGTAATTTTCCGAACGCTGCCCAACAGAGTTGAATCCTTCGATTGACCTCTCGGTCGAAGTTGAACTTACCTAGTCGGACTATTTGTCCCAGGTAAACATACTCATCAACAACTTTGAGCTTAGTGCTCCCTGCATAGGTGTGACATGGACATTAAACATGATCTTTGTTTTGTCCATGTTCATCTTAAGACCTATCCGTTGGGAGACACTATTGAGGTCATTGAGTATAGTGCTTAGGTCCTCCAGCGATTCTACCATAAGGACTATATCATCGGCAAATCGAAGGTAAGTGATGTACTAGTCATTAATGTTAATACAGTATCCTTTCCAGTCCAGTAGCATGAAAACGTCTTTCAATGCAGCTGTGAAGAGTTTCGGGAATATAACGTCACCCTGTTTTACATCCCTCTGCAGTTGGATAGGTTTCGTACTCTGGTTCTGTAATCGGATAGCCATCGTAGCCCTACTGTACAAACACTTCAGCACTTCGATATACCGATAGTCATCTTGGTACCGTTGAAGGGTCTGTAGCACCGCCCAAATTTTGACGGAATCAAAGTTTTCTCATAGTCCACATACGCAAGGTAAAGTGGCAGATTGTACTCTTCTGTCTTCTGTACAATTTGTCGAAGAGTGTGTATGTGGTCTATGGTACTAAAGCCTTTTTGGAAAGCGGCTTGTTCGGGAAGCTGGAAGTCGTCAAGTCTGCGTGCGAGACGATTCGTAATGACTCTCGAAAACAGCACGTAGACGCGGCTCAGAAGGGAAATCGGTCTGTAGTTCTTCAAGAGAGCGTTATCGCCTTCTTGAAGAACAAGACCACCGCACATCTGCTCCACGCCTCCGGAGTAGTAGCACGCTTTCAGAAGCTCCGCTGTAATTCCATCCTCGCCTGGGGCCTTGCCGCTTTTAAGGTGCTGGAGAGCCATTCTAATCTCGCTCAGACTGATGTCTGGGATATCATCAGAATAGTATCAAATAAGACTTGCTCTTGGATCGTTACTCACACTTACGTGTGGCTACAACGATGAAGTGTACAGCTGCCCATAGAACCTCTCAATCTCACTCAAAATCTCAGGTGTCCCGGAAACGATGCTGCCACACTCGGTCTTAAGCTTTGACAGTTGACTCTTTCTGGCAGACATATCTCTGGTAAAGACTTTGGCGCCTTGGTTCCGCTCGATCGCTTGAGATTAAGAGTGTGATCGGAGAGTTTTTGTGTTCTTCTGCGGCGGGTCTTACAGAACTTAGCTCCGATCGCATGGACAGTTTCCACGAGCTTATCATTCATATCGTCCACTTCATTGCAGTATTCTAGGTACCGAAAACGGTTTTGTAACTCGAGCTGAAAGGTTTCGGGACTTTGGGTTAGAGCACAAGGGGAACGGAGCGTTGACTTCATTAGACGAGACGTCTCTAACTTAACGTTTAGGTTCAGTGTGCCTTTTAACCGAAAACAGCTCGGATACAATATACCTATCATCCAAACAATTAGTGCTTAAAAGCATTAACTAATTTCGCTATAAACTGCACAGGTCTGAGCACAACAAAGGAACACTAACTGTATTGTATGTTTTCTTTGTCGTTTATTCGATTTTCAAACGCCATATATATACATATACAGGGTGCTTTTGGAACGCTCCCGAAAACTAAGACAGGCGACAACACCAAGTATACCTTTGATCATGGGTCACAAATAAATTCGATCCTGATGAAAAAAAAATCATCTTTTTACAAGGTTTTATTAGCTTTATTCACGCGCCATCATGTTAGTACAGCTAAATGAAACGATAATTTCATAAAAAATATCATGAAAATACTGAAACATAAAACCAGCAGTGGAATGACTGAATTGATATCACCTGACCTGAGCTATATAAAGGTCAATGTACGCGCGAACACAAATTCGCGCGGCCCGCAACTAGCGGGCCTTCCCACAATACCTAATAATTTACAACACGTGTCTAAATACCTAACTTATCTACTTAACCTACTATTTTGCCACTGTGCTTATCTCCACGTAGCCACTTTAATCCGAATTTACAGGTTAAATAACCCAAATAACTGGTTCGATTCCCCGCTAATGAAGAAATACTTAAATGAAATGTAACCAAGGTTTGAGTCATGCGTTTTTATTCATCGTGTAGGTATGTTTATTATTCTCGTGTATTCAGTTATGTACCTATTCAGATTAGTCTAGTACTAAGTTATTTAAAAAAAATAGTTATGAAACAGCTTACTGCTCTAAATCCTCCGTGGTCTTATGAGATGCGGCTCAAATTGTGCTCCATTCATTTCAAGGCAGACTTGGGTGCAGGCGGGGCATCATCGTGTGGTCTTCGACACAGTCCGTACGTAGTTTCTCGAAAGCATCCACGATCCTTTGGCGCATTTCTTCAGCACTATCACATTCACGATTAAAAACCCTTTCTTTCACATGCCCCACAAAAAGAAGTCTAACGGAGTCAGATCTGGTGAGCGAGGTGGGCAAGCGTGTGGTCCTAGTCTGCCGATCCAGCGATCATCAAATAGCTCATTGAGGCGCTCACGGACGAACCTCACGAAATGTGGAGGGGCACCATCATGTTGGAACTATGTGCGGCGATATTCAGCCAACGATAGGTCGTTTAAAATGTCAACCAACTGTTCATTTATAAAGTTTAGGTATCGCTGTCCGTTCAGTCGCTCTGGCAGAAACACTGGTCCCAGTATGCGATCCTTAAATAAACCTGTCCATACGTTAACCGACCATCGGGTTTGGTGCCCGGTTTGTCGAACAGCGTGCGGGTTAACCTCTGAATACACGTGTGTATTTCTTCGGTTCCACAGGCCGTTTCTGGTAAATGTCGACTCATCCGTCCAGATAATGTGCTCAATGGAACCAGGCACACGTTGTTGCTGATATAATAACCAACGGCAGTATAATAACCACTATAAACGTACGCGTTAGGCATTATTAAAACAAAAAAGAATCCAAAAACGTAACAAAAACTTTAATATCAACACGTAATCACAAGTAAATTTATTAAACAAAACGATTGAACTGTCGCTCGCGCACGCGTGTACAAAATCAACACGGAACTGTCTCAAAAACTAAAACGAACGAACTGCGTCACAAGCGTGAGGCGACAGGGTTAGGCATTCTGCCGTCATAATAAAAAAGGAAGTAACTAACAAAAACGTAAAATGGAAATAAAAAATAAATTGATGAATTTTTCTTTCAGACCCCGTGTCTAAAGTATATTAAAAGGTATCTATATTGAAATATATACGTAGAGACATGAAGATTTTAAGGACGAACTTATTTTTTTTTAAATTTGTTTATTTATTTAAATAAAACGAATTTTCCTTTTCATCTTAGATTAAAAAATACACCTGGCAACACAAAAACATCGAAAGAAAGACGCATATAACTATTTGGGTCTTCCCAACCTAATAAATAAAACAAAACTACCATTCATTTAACATTTTTACATATTTTGGAAAGGTCATTTGAAGTTGAGAGGACGCTAATAGTAATTTACTACTTTTTTCTTAGTAAATATTAGAAAAGCATTGGTAGTGAGACACAAAAAATAACAACCCGCAACTCTTGAGTAATGATTTTAAAGGGGATATCATACAAGACTTACTACGATAATAATTAAAAATTAAAACATTTGTACAACCGACTTTAATATAAATAATTAAGGATAACTCAAAAACTATTGGTCTGACCTCGATCAAATTTATATGGGACCACATGTGAAACACCAGCTCTTAATAATAAGATATAAGCTCTTAATAATAAGATATAAAATAATAAGACAAGAATAATTTAAATTTAAATAATCGATGCAAATATTGTTAAAGATGACGTAGCAACTGGTTAAATAAGTCTTTTCTTTTATGTTGAATTTGTATAAGTCTTTTCTACTAATAAAATGTCATCTGTGATCAACAGCTACGTCTAAAATTCTGACGATAATTTCTAAAATATTGATATTAGTGAATATTAAAAAAATTTAGTAGATGGGTCTTCTTATCATGAGTCGAATGGTATATTTAACTCATTTATTCGAA